GTTGGCCTGGGCTTCGGGCCTCTGCTGCTCGAGCCTGCTCGGCCTGGGCGGGCTGTGGGTGGCACGAGAGGGAGGGTCTCCCGAAGCACCTCCCTGGGCTTATCGCAGCCTCGCCTCCTCCATCAGGTTCCACGGGGAAGGCTATCAGGAAGGCTACGAAGACGGCAGCAGTTTGGGTCGGATCGAAGGAAGACAGCATGGCGCGCTGCGTGGAGCCAAAATTGGGTCTGAGGTCAGTGGGAGCCTCCGCTCACATGGACGCTTTCCCAGTTTGTAATGTACTCAGATGCTCCGTGCGTTGAGTGGGACACCAAGCTCTGAAGGCCCCAGCCTTGTGTGGGCCTTTCCAGGCCGCCCAGGTCCCTGCGGGAAGTGTTCTTGGGACCCATGGCCCGAGCACGTTGCTGTCTGGAGACCATTAAGTTATGTGGCTGGAGGATGAGAAGCCGTTGGTTGCCTCCACTTGCACTGGAGGCAGGACGCTGTCTTCAGCCACCTGGGTCCTCTCCCAGAGACCCAGCGCCTGTGTTTGTATTGAGATGCTAAGAACCGCGTTCTTACCTCTAAGAGGTTGGCCCTCTTACAGGTAACCGGCCCTGAGTGCAGAGTCTGAGGCAAGACAGTGAGGACAGCATTCTCTGCGTACCTCTTGCTGAGGTCAGGATGTCCCTCAGCAGCAGTGGAGTCTCCTGAGGCTATGCCCAGATGTCATCCCCGGCTTCATTCTCATCTGAAGGCTTGGCTATGGCTGGAGGATCCACCCTGAAGGTGGCACACTCACATGACAGTGGGCATGGACCTCTCCACAAAACCCCTCAGGTCCTCCTAGCACTGAAGGGCAAGTGGTCCAAGAAAACAACACAAGAGTCCCCGTCTCTCTATCCTCAGAATCACACCCTCTCTTTGCCTCCATGTTCTGTGATTGTACAGGCCTCCCTGGGGTCAGGGGAACTGCTCAGGGTGTGAACGCAGGGGAGGAGTGAGGGCTGGCTGCCCCACTGATTAGCTGCCTAGTTGCCACTGCCCATGCTCCTTGGGTCCTTCCAAAACACTAGCAGAAGCACAGCTGCCTCCTCCCCTCCTTGTGTCTAGGAATTTGGTAATTAGGTTCAGTGTAGCCAGCTCTTATTAATTTTACTCTCCAACGTCTTTAAAATACAGATTGGGTGCTATCAAGGCTTTGCTTTTGCGTGGAAGCATCTCCTACACAGTGATGCCAGCGAGAGAGACAGGTGAGCTCTGAGCGTCCTTTCCTTTTTTCCAGGAGGGGTGCTGAGTTCACTAACAGTGACCTTGGGCATTAGTTTTCCATTTTCTCATCTGTTAAGTGGAGAAAATAATAATGTCAAACTTAAATGCTGTTAGATTTAAAGGAAATAATAAAGACAAAATGTTGGGCACATTGTAGTCATTTGATGAACACTGGTAGTTTTCAATTCCCTAAAAAGTTCCTTTCCCAGCCATTCCCCTGGAATCACCAGTGCACCAAGTGCTTGTGGACACCAAGATGGTAAAGTGATGTTAAAATTTGTACTTCTCACTCCTGAGCTTCTGATGAACAGATCACTGTGTCTCACTGTGACTAGGGCTCAGAAGTGCCCACTCCATGGTCCCCAGGTGCCTTTGGCTGTGGTAAACTCATTTCTGACACCAGGAGGTGCTGCTGTTATTATCTGAAGGGGTTCAGCCTCGTTGTGTCTGCCTGCCGGAGCCCCTGTGAGCCTGTCTCGCCTGTCCTCCCTCTCAGGTTGGAAACTGCCCTCCAGTGAAAGAAAGGCATGAGGCTCTCAGGAGTGAGAGAAAGCAGACTTAAGCTTGAACTCTGCATCGTCTGACACCTGGTATCCTAACCCTTGTAGGTGGCATCCCTGTTCATGCAGCTTGTCCTTTTATTTGAAATATCTTGAGTTTTAAGAGCCCAGGCCATACCCATATTCAGAAATCACAACAAAGGTGCTGTGTCTGAGTGGTTCTGGGGTTGCCTGCGTCTGACTTGTCCCAGTCCCTTGCCTGCTCCGTGTGTCTCAGCAGGTGGTACTTGTGCAGAGGCTGCTTCTCCCAGCCACAGGGCAGCTGTGGCAGCCTATGTTGCCACCAGGTGGCGCCCAGAGCTGTGCTTTCCACTCAGGGGCCAGAGGATGAGGAGAGGGAGGGGCGCCAACTTGAGCTCTTTGGCCAGCTCATTCTCCCCACTTCTAAAGTCTGGCTTTCCTAACTCCTCAGAGCAGCCCACCCAGTCTGTCCAAAAGAAGACAACCTGCTGCCGCTGATGCCAGGCTGGTGGGAACCCTGCCAGCCCCCACACGTGCAGCCTGGGGTCGCTGGACCCAGAGCTTTGTCTTCACAGGTGTTAGGTTTATAAGTCAGTGCAAAGGGCTGGGCATGCAGCTCAGTATGTAGAGCATTTGCCCAACCTGCACAAGGCCCTGGGTTCCATCCCCAGCACCACACACACACACACAAAGAAGTCAGTGCAAATATTTTCTTCTCTTTCTGGTGCTGGGGATGGAACCCAGGGCCTTGTGCACACCAAGCAAGCGCTCTGCCACTGAGCTACACCTGCAGCCAAGTATGTTTTTTAAAGTGAGAAAGGGCTGCTAGGTGACATTCTACTGCAAGGATGTGAAAGGGCAAAGGACTGCTGTCTGCATGGCACGTGAAGGAGCGTAGCGCAGTGCCTGGGAGGCATGGAGAGGCGGCCCTCAGTCCCGGCATTGGCACTTGGTCACTCCAAGATGTTGCTATTCCCTTCTTAGTAGCTGGCGACCCCTGCCACAGCGGTGCTGGCAGGACTGCCCACACCTGTAAATGTGTGCCTACCTGAGCTGCCCGCCAGGTGTGTCTGCAGGTGCTCCCTGAGCAGGGAAGAGGTCAACCACCTGCAGAGGGGACATGGATGGGATTCTCCCACCCAGAATGCCCCCAACCTCACCTTAGCACCTTCCTCCAGTCTCTGGGAAGCCAGGGCTTGACTGCCTTGCATTGGACTTTCATGGTTTGGCATTTTCCAGGCGAGGTGGCCCTTAGGCGCTGGCTTGCCCTCGGTGAGTGTGCTCACCTGCACCTCTGTGAATACCAGCTCTCGGCCAGCGCGTGGGACCTGGCTGCTCTGAATCGCCATTGCGTGTGTATCCGGCATGCTTCTGTCCTCTGGGACAGATGGCCCCGAGCAGGGTCATCCTAAGAGTCGCTGTCCCTTGGAAAGCCCTGGGCCCCACCTGGATGTGCATTGAGTGATCTTTAAACTGCCCCAGGGGAGCCGTGGTCCCAGGGTCACTGGAATCGAGGACACTCATATGACTGTGCACGTCCTCTGTCTGCAGGTCACACAAATGAGCTAACACTTGTAACCCATGAGCTGTTGTCACTCCCCATTTTGCAGATAGACAGCAAGGTTGAAAGATGGGGGTATCTAAGTGTCTTGGATCAGGGACTCTCTTTTCTGCCATGTCCTGTCTCCTTCCCTGGAGAGGCGCCTGGGCGCAGGTGGCCTGCCCAGCTCTGGCAGGGACGCAGGCACATCGACAGTTGGGACCCTGCTGTCAAGGCGCTGGGCGTGAGTGACAGCCACGTTGGTAGGTAAACCAGCGTGATTTGATGTAATGAGGAAATCCATTTTCTGCCCTGAGCCTGAGCCTTCTCAGCAGGCTTGCTTCTTCAGGTGACGGTGTGGCCACTGCACATGTTGGCTTTTGTGTCCCAGGGATTTGAAGGTCTGCTTGTGTGCTTTCAGCAGGAAGATGAGGGTCTTGGAGTCCCTGATGGGAATGATTGAGAAGTTCCCCTACGATGACCCTGCTTATGACAGGCTCCACGAAGACCTGGACAGGATCCGGGGCAAGTTCAGGCAGGTCTGTTCCCTGTGTGCCTGTCCTCGGGGAGCTGGCACAGGCCCTGGGGTTCACTCGGTGGTCTTGGGTCTCATACACCCCATGTGTGCTGTGTGAGTCACTGGAAAGGAGCATTGTCTCTGTGTCCCCATTCTAGACAGCTGAGGACAGTCTGGGACCGGTGTAAGGACACACCTCAGGGTTTCTGGTGGGGACGAGAACAGCTATAGCCAAGGGAGGGCTTTGCTCTTGCTAGTGAGCAGAAATGCACGAGATTTTAAAACGCTGCCTTTCTTTTGTGTGTTCAGCTGTGTTCATTACTGAATGTTCAGCCTGACTTCAAGATGAGTGCAGAAGGTTCTGGACTTTCATTTTGAAGATGACAGACGGGAGCAGATAAAACTTCAAGGGACAGATGTCTGCATGTTAAGAATGTATTAAAGACGAAACTGATGGGGTATTGGTTGTTCTGGAAGTGGGGGGTCCCAGTTTGGCCTCCTGCCCCCTGAGGTTTTGTGCCTGGGTCACTGTGATGCCCTGTCCCCTGTGTTGTGTGAGCGAGACTGCCCACCACTGCTCTGGTGTGGGACGCTCCACTGGCCTCCAGCAGGGCAGGCCTGGCTGGTCCTGGACTGTCCCTGAGAAGGAGGGCCATGGTGACTTGAGGCAGGTAATGGGAAGTGGGTGAGCTCCATGCCGCAGCCCAGCAGGTAGGTGGAGGTGGCGGTACTCCCCTTTACCCGGGAGGAGACTGAGCCACAGCAGCAGAGCAGGACTTGCACCCGTCAGTCACGCAGCCCCCTGGCACTGTGCGGGTGGCTCCTGAGCACCTGAGAACCCTGCCCTCCATTGCCACTGTGCCGGGCCCCACGGGCTCCAGTGCTCCACCAGGTTCAGTTTGCCTGGACACTCGGCTGGGAAGAGCAGCCGGCCGATCTTGAGGGGCCCAGGTGTGCCCTTCCCGCTGTCCCCAAGAGGGGGATGAACTGCACAGCATTGAGAAGTGGTTAAGCGGAAGTGTTCTGGATCAGACTCGCCACTGAGCTGCTCTCTACAGAGCGCTGGGCGTGGGTTGCTGAAATGGGTTCCTGCACCTGGGTGGGTGGGCACGTGGTGGCACATGTTGACACATCCGCACTTGGTCGTCCCGAGCTCACCACAGACTGCCTGTCCCACTGCTGTTCTAGAGTGTCTGGCAGCAGCGAGGTGAGGGGACATGGTGAGATTTCATATCTGAGGGTGCTGCTGCCCTCTTGTTAGGGACAGACAGCAGGTCACGCTGGGAGCACCAGGTTAGGCCCTGTCCTGCAGACTGCCCGCAGCCATCCAGGCCTCTAGAAGTCCTGCGGCACTCCACCTCCTGCGTCTCCCCGATCTCTGAGGACCAGCGGCGCTTCGCCTCGGGCACAGGGTCTGAGGGCCTCTGGCTGCTGCTTCACGGTGGGTTTCTCTGTTTTCTAACTTAGCTGTTTAATAATGTATTATTTTTCTTATTGGAAAAATAAACACTTTAAAGCAAAATTCTCTCTGGGACTGATTGTGACCACTCTAGCCACAGTGATCCCCCTCTGGAGGGTCAGGGTCTGCCTACAGAGGAGGCCTGTACCCCCAGCCCCTGGAGGCCACCTCATCCATCCTGCTGCCCTGTCTGTCTGCCTGCCTTCAGCCAGTGCAGTACCCCTGGCATGCCCTCCCTCCCTCCCTCCTCAGCCCCTTGTCCCCCAAACCCCTGCCGCTGTCCCAGCAGCAGCCACCACTTCTGGAGCCACACCTGCTCACTGGTTATCTTCCAGATTCCTGGACACCGACCTTGACCTGTGCCCTCTGGCCCTTCCTGGAGTACTGGGCCCAGTGTCGGGGATGCCTGGGTCTCCCAGCCAGACCTAGATTGCTGTGCAGACAGGGCCTCTGTAACAGCCGGGGGCCTCCAGGGCTTGGCCAGAGGGGGCTGCGTCTCGTCTCCTGGCTGTGGAGGTTGGCATCTGTGGGAAGGGTCACCTCACTCCGGAGAAGGAAGCACTGTCTCTGGGATGTGACCCCTGGGCCAGCACAGGCAGTGCAGCCAACTGCAGGTGACGAGGCCCTGGAAGGAGCCTGGGCCTTGATGCCCAGAGGAGTGTTGCAGGAACTGGCCTCTCGCTCAGAGCCACCCCTGTCCACTGGTGGTGTTTCTGTTGCTTGCAGACAAGCATCCTGCCCGCTGCCTCCCATCCTGTCCAGCACCATCCTGTCAGGCTGGTCTCTGGGTGGTGATCCTCGTCCGGGAGGCCTTGGCTTGGACTTCATCCCTTCTGGTGGGTCTCCTAGGGCGTGGCCGCCCCTCCTTCCTGTTAGAGCTTCAGTGCGCTTTGTTCCACTGCATACGTTTCTGTACCAGTCTCCTGGCTGCCATGACAGAGGCACAGGCCCGTGGCTTCCCTCCTGGAGGCTGGAGGGGCCATGAGGGTGCCACAGGGCTGGTCTTCTGGCAGCCTCTTCTAGTCTGCGGACAGTCTTCTCCCTGTCCTCACATTGGCCTCCTGGGTCTGCATCCTGATGTCGCTTTTGTTGGTTTTGCTCCACCACAGAGCCTCCTTCCCTGCCCTTTTAAAATAACGTTTGGGATGGCCTCACTGAGTTGCTGAAGCTAGCCTTGAACTTGCGATCCTCTTGCTCCAGCCTCCGAGTCTCTGGGGTTACTGGTGTGCCTCCCTGCGCCCAGCCTGATTTCAGGACCCTCAGGTGTATTAGGCCCTGCCTTGAGACTTCATTTTAACTTTATTGCCTTCTTAGAGACCCTCTCTCCAAATACTGTCACACAGGAGGCAGGGGATCAGGGCCTTAGTGCACCGATTCTGTGGGGGCTTGGTCCAGGCTATCACAGGAGCCCCTCTGGCTGCAGCGACAGTTAACTTGGAACTGAGGGTGAGTAAAGCCACCTCTCCAAAGTAGATGTCGCCTGACTGGGTGCTGCAGGAGCCAGCGGCTGGGCATAAGCAAGGTCAGCCCCTGCGGGAGCGAGTCACGGCAGTGGCTAGCTCGCAGCCACTCAGCTGTGCTGAACAAGGCCACCTCTCACTTTCTCTTGATTCTGCTTCTCTCCTTAACACGGTGGGGAGTGGAAGAGGAGGAGGTGGCAGAGGGGCTGAGAAGCCTAGTTGGCCCTGGCTGCTGGCGGCCGGCCCCTGGCCTCAAGTCGCTGAGCTGGCTGCTTCCCTCGCCTTGCTGGTCGCAGTCTGCCCATGGCAGTGTTCAGCGGCTGGCCGCAGGCTGCAGGGGGAGGCACACAGGGCCTGAGCAATCTGCTGGTCACTCGTCCCGAGGCCATTTTCCTGGCAAGGTCTCTCTAGTCCACAGCCCGTCATGCAGCCAGTCTTACATCTCGAAGTCTGAGGCAGGGACAGGTGCAGGACCTATGCTGGCTGCCAGGAGGAGGACAAGCAGTGACCAATGAGCCCTCCGCTGCCCCAGGCCCTGTGGGCAGCTCTCCCAGGGGTGTGTGTGGCCCCGGGAGTCCCGAGGCCGGGGTGGCCTTCTGCTATGCCTGGGGATGAGGCCGGGAGCCCCTGAGGAGCCTCCCATTAACCTTCCAGTTGCAGAATCTCTTCACTGCTGCACTGCCCTGGGGACACCCGGGCCGCCTGGATAACAGCTGAGATGGCTCTGAGCTCATCCCGACCGACTGACCGCCGCAGTGGTCCTTGGTGGATGGAGAGTTGCAGCTCAGGAAACTGAAGACACTGAGCTCTGGGAGCTCATCAGAGCAAATGGGCGCCCAGTTCAGTGTCAGAGGACACGGGAGTCCAAGCGAGAGGGACTGCCCCCCAGGCTCAGTGACTTTGTTGTGTCGGGACTTTTCCAGGAAAAGTTGCTCTTTGCAGGGGCAATTTAGGGAAATGTCCCGTGATTGTGCAGAGCTGATGATTTCTCAGTGGGCATCGGGCTCCACTGGGAGGGTGCCCTGGCAGAGCTCCCCAGTCCCTTTAACCAACTGGTTGGCCTCTGGTCATGGGGCTTGGGGCCTCTGTGCTGGGCGATCCCTTGCCGGGGTCCTCCAAGCATCATGCACACGGTGGCGGGACCAGCGTGGAGAGGGCTGGCCTCGTGCTCTTAGCAGGGGTACCTGGGCATTGCTGTTCCCCTGCTGGGTGCACCCCAGAAACAGCAGGGGCTTGCTGAGCTTGCTGCTTGGCTTTGAGAACGCAGCCGGGTCTGTTGCCAGTGGAATTGTGTCCTCCAAAAGGAAACACTGAAGTCTCAGCCCTGGCACCTGGGACTGTGACCTTATTTGGAAATAGGATCTTTGCAGCGTCTACAAAGCTGTAAGTTAAGATGAGGTTGCCCCAGGGTGGATGGGCCCTCGGTCTACTGTGGCAGGGTCCTCCTGAAGGGGGACACACCGAGAAGCACAGTGCGCAGACCGCAGCTCCGCCACAGAAGGAGGCAGGGCCTGGGCTGAGGGAGGAGGGAGGCTGCCGCCCAGGGAGCTCAGCCATGCTGTGCAGGCCCGGTGGACCCCCACCCACCCCTCGGCTTCGCCTACTCACCTGCAAAAGGGCCACCAAATATTCCTCTGCTGCCTTTTTTGTGAATAAAACTTTATTGGCACATAGCCCCACGCATCCTTCACTCCACCGTCTGGCTGACCAGGCACAACACGGTGCCTTGACCGTCCCCTGCTGACCTGCAGTCACGCACTGTCAGAGTGCCACTACAGGAGAGCAGGCCAGGGCCAGGGCCACACAGCTTACTAGTGTGTCCCCTGCCTGTCACCAGCTCATAGGGCATTCTGGGAGCTGGGGCAGAACTGCTCAGTGGTGTTCGGCACCTCGCCTGGCACACAGTAGGCGCACTATGAACTTGAGCTGCCCCGGCCCCTGCCCATGGTCATACGAGGGTGAGGAAGACGCCCCTGAGGCCCGGCAGGACTGGGGTCTGGGCAGCTGGTCCTGGTTGGGCCACTTAGCTCTGGAGCAGCCGCCACTGGCGGGCCCGCCTCCGCTGTCGCTAGGTGAAAATTAAAGGATTAATGGACACCGGCTTTGATAGGCTCAAGGCCACCAAAGCCCCTCAGCGGAGAGTTCCACATTCCCTCTTCCCAGTCCTCCTTGTGTGCCCCTGTGAGTGGTGGTGACAATGGCCCCCGGATGTGGGCCCCAAGGCCAGCCGCCCCAGTGCTGCCCGCCCACCCGTCCGCGGGCTATTGTCTGCCCGGCCCTGCAGTGTGGCGCTGGGCTGGTGGGGCCCGCGGCAGGGGGACTGTGGGAACGGATTAGAGGTCCTGGGCTTTCTTCCCCGTCTTGCATAAACTCTTGATCAAAGACATTCCTGGGATGACAGAGCCCTGCGAGAGGCCAGCCCAGCATGCCCAGCGTGGGGGACGCGCACCCCGTGCCCCTGCTGGCCGGGGCAGCCTGCCGCAGCCTGCTGGCCTGGCCCACCGTGCAGCGTGCTCTCGGCACACGGCCTGCATACGGTGACGGTGACGGAGGGCACAGGCAGAGGCCGCCATCCCAACAGATGTGAGGCCAGGCCCTGCTGCAGGGCCTTTTGGGAGGGTCACATCATGAGCAGGACAGCACTGCCGCGGGCCCTCGCTCCTCTGGATGCTGAGGGACACTGCCCGCTTGGTCTTCCCCCCAGAAACACGCACGTGCCACTCTGCCAGCCTCTCCCCACGTCTTGATGACCCAGGCTGCTGCCTGGGCCCTGGGAGCCCGACCCTCCTCAGTGCCCACAACTCAGTACAGTAGCTGAGACTGGCCTGAGGTGACCCCTGGAGATGCCCAGACGTCCATCCCCTGCAGGGGCCCAGGACCAAAGCGGAAGGTTATGAGGGTGTGGACGCCCTCATGGAGGCCGCCTTTGTTTTGAGCATTGAGGAACAAGCAGAGATGCTCAGGGGTGGAGGGCCAGAACCTGGAGCCTGGAGCCGTCGGGCGTGCCCAAAGCTGGGGGCAGAACCAAGGTCCAGGGAATGGAGGCGGGGAGGGCAGGGCCTCAGGGACCTCGGGCCAGCTGGAAGCACAGAGGCAGCCCCATGGGTTGTGGACAGAGGGAGGGGGGCTGCCTGGGCACTGGCAGGCTGGTCAGGGGGCAGGAGGGTAGCAGGGAGAGCTGACCAGCAAGGCTTCATCTCCAGAGATCCTCAGAGGGCAGGCCTTGCTGTCCTTCTGTGACTGGAGAGACCAGCACCCAGCAGGGCATCCTGGGGGGTCAGCTGAGCTTGAGGGCAAGGATCACAGTCTGGGGTGCCAGTGACATCGTGGGTTTCACTGCCTGGCCAAGGAGTGTGCTTCAACGGTCAGCCATCACTGTGGGCACCGATGCCAGCGAGGAGGCCATCGGGGAACCCTGCCCTGGGCCCAAACCCTCCTCCACCTGACAGGGGTGTCCTCCCTGCTGGCCCCTCTGCCCTGCCCCTGGTGCGCTCCTCCCTGCCTGCCCGTCTGGGGGCGCCCTCCCCTGCCTCGCTGCTCCCTGACTGGACAGCAGGACCTAGGCCACGCTTGCAGTCACATGGGCCTAGGGTGGGGACCTGGCTTCCTGCCCCAACAGGGACCTAGTTCTGGTCAGAGCTGGGCCCCTGCCATGGTGAGCCTGGACGCTTCACTGTAGGTGGCTCTGCCCAAGGAGAAGGCTGGGCTCTCCAAAGTCACCGGAGGAGCCAGGTGGTGGCCTTATCTGCCTTCGGGAGCCCCCACCTTTAGGAGAGAAGGGCTGGCAGTGACCATGGAGGCCAGGCGTCTCCTGCACACCCCACCCTCCTCAGAAGCGCAGGAGCCCACGGCTTCCCAGGCCACCGCTTTCCCCGGGGCTGGGACCTAGTCACACCCAGAAGCCAGAGGCACATGATGCAGGGGTCCAGCAAGGCCCCCCAGGCGCCGTGTGAAAGGCTGCCCTGGTCAGTGGCCCTCATGCTGCGAGCTTTGGCAGCACAAAGGACCATGATTCACCCAAAGCACACAGCAGTTTGCGCCAGGAGAGGGCCAGTGGAATGCCTCTGTTTACCTTCCCAGACGCAATAACCCGGGGAGGGCACACTGGCCGCGAGGGCCAGGAGATGCTCCTGATCAGTGGCACCACTAGTGTCTCTGGCGCCAGCACTGCTGGGGAATCTCCTGGGGTCTGAACCGCCCCTCCCTCCTGGCACTCCAGGGACTCCTCCCAGATGTGCACCTGCAGACCCCACCCATTTGACAATGTCAGCAGACACTGCTGGTGTCAAGGGGCAGGTGGAGGTCAGGATGGCACTGCAGAGCACAGGATGACCTGGCCACGCGCCCCTCCCTGTCTCCAGCCGGCCTGGGAAACACACAGGCAACACACTGGGGTTTCACCAATTTTATTTCTAGACTTTTCATGTTTGTTTGTGTCTCTGCTGGGAACGTGCCAGTTCCCTGTCTGTGCTGGGAAGCACCGTGTGTCCACCAGGCACAGACCCAGGCTGCCCACCACCAGACCCTCGCCGGCTCTCGCATCACAGGACACACTGCTGTGCTCTGTGGACCTGCCACCAGCCTTGGGCCTTCGGGCAGTGTTCAAGACACCTGACCCCACCCACGACTATGGACACACCTCCTCGAGAACCCTGCTCGGTTCAGGCAGATGCCGCAGCCAGGGTGGTCGCGGTTAAGTGGAAATGGGGCTATGGAGGGAGGGCGGGCGGCCAGTCCTGTACTGGCACCTGCCCCAGCACAGACCCACCCCGCCGGGGCACCAAGGGTACAGAGCCTTTGGGTTTGGCAGCTCGCTAGGGGACCGGGCACACGGCACTGTGAGCTGGCTTGGTTGAGATTTGGAGTCTTTAATTTAGCATCATGCTGTAATCAACAAACAAGAACAAACAGAACACTAGCACATGGAACAGAGGAAACGCACCCAAAACTGCAACAATTCCAGAAGCGATTCCAATCATCCCGATGACGAGTCCTACGGCCCAGCACCACAGTGGCACGTAAGACAGACTGGTATCACAATAATAACAACAACATGCAATGTTCATAACTACACGTCAAGAGCGGCACAGCTGGCGAAGCTATACCACAATGGCACGTCCAGACCGGCCGAGCCCAGCACTGCAGGCGCAGGGACACAGCTGGGCAGCGACAGGCCTGCGCAGGTCTCCTGGACGTGGCCCCGTTGGCCGGGGCCGTCTTGGGATTCGTCTGTGTGTCTGTCCACGAGGCAGACAGAGCCGACTGGTGGGTCTACACATGGCTAAGTGAAGCATGAGGTATCGTGAACAGGGACCTTTTTGGAATAGAGCAGTAATCACATCAAGTCAAAATTGATCACATTAAAAAAAAAAACTACAAAAAAGGGCATCTGTAATACAATTTTCTATGAGAAAATTAAAACGAGCACATGGCAGTATATGACATCGTAAAACAAAAACTGATCCTCCCATAGCAGCAAAACAACGTGAAAGAGATACAGAGAAGCTGTGAACAGTTTCCGACTGCGGGAAGTCACCGGTAGCAGCGCAATAGGAAGTGGAGCCACGGCCTGTCCCTCCTGTGGGCACTGCCCGTCCCCTCGGAGCCTCCCGCCACACTCCTCCCTCACGTGCTCTCTCCAGCCTCCGCCTCAGCCTCCACACTCTTGCCACCTCCCCTCCACACGTCCTCAATGCAAAGGTACAGGGCCAGGATGGCAGGGAGAGATGGTCCTGGACCCCTCTCCTCTCCAGCACCCTGGTGTCCCTGTGCCTCGGGTGCCTCCAGAGCAGACCACTTTGGGCAACGCCCCACAGGCCGACTCCAGGTCTGGGCGGTCTCTCTGGAGTTCTTCCCTCAGCGACCAAAGGCCCCATCTTGTCACCTGCAGCTCAAAGGCAGAAAGGGTTGAGTGTCGAAATCAAGGGAGACTGCTTCACTTTATAAATCATACTGGCCTTACGAGCATCCTCTGCAATAAATATTCTTTTTAGCCTTAACTATAAATTATATATTTTAGTGTTTAAAAACCTTCCGCTGTGAAATACCTAAAAGTAACCCTTACACTACTTGTTCCCTAGGTGAACCTTTGAGGTCCCTACTTTCAAACACCAGTTGGCACCAAAGGATTCCCGCGAACTTCGACCTCTCTACAGGACAGGAAGGGCCTACGTCCTGGCACCGTGACACGGAGGACCCTTTTCTTCTTGACTGGTACAAAACCTTCAGGAACACCCTCTTGCTGACACCACAGCGTCACACCTTTGCGGTCCTATGCACGCAGGAACGTGAATATTCCCCGCCATTCCACTGGGAAACCGCCCTGCACGTGACAGCGAAGTGGCCTCTAACTGCTGGACCAAAGTGCTTTGACACGGAATGGTTTAGAATATCAAGAAAGAAAACACAAAACCCCAAAATGATCAGAAGAAAGTAGCTGTGGATTGAACCTGATGTGACCAGGCGGCAGGACCGACGGGTGAGAACCCAGCATCTCACGAGCAGGTAACTACAAAAATAGGAAGATTATAAAAATAGAATCTATCATGTCGCTCTTTGCTTCCCTCCACAGCAGCACGTGGTGGTGGACAGCTGGCCTTTCCTGAGCTCCCTGGCTGGCACCTGCAGACTGGTGCCCAGGTGGGGGTCCCCAGGCACAAGAGCCCGGCCCCACACCATGCTGACCCCCTGGCAAGCTGCAGAGGTCACACGCCTACCTACCTAGGAGATAAACACAC